AGCAGACGATCCTTTTGATCATGGAGAAAGCACCCGAAGAACGGTAATGTTAATGACGACGCGGTGTATTTTGAGGTGGATCCACCAGCTCCTTTTACTCACCTTCGTTTTGAGCTGTATATTGAGATCAAAATTACTCCTTACAGCTAGACATAAAAAAAATGTGTTTTTATTAATCTGCGCGCTCGGTGCAATTCTAGTCACGGTGCCCTAAACGCATATATTCCACGCATTGTAATTTGCACCGATTATGTTTTGCAGAAATATATTCCACACGGTGTAGCGGTACAGCGCGAGGGTGTTTTCTCCAGAATGATATAAAACTCACGTTCGTTTTGACGCGAATGTGATTACAGTGAAATTTTCGAAGCCTTCACTGCTTTACGAACGTTATCCTCTCATTACACACACTCTGGAGGAAACAAAAATATTACATTATCATACACCGAGTTCAAACATTTTCGGCCTTGAACGTGAGATTACGGCATTCCCCCAACGCCGAGGACGAGGATGCGGAGAAGCTCCTGTTTACGCTCGCACTCAGATAATAACAAGTACACGTTCCCGGGGAAGGTGGACGGTCTGGATGTAATGCAGTCAATTCCTGCGTTGACAACAGTAAATCGCAATAACCAGACATGCTGCACCTAATTCTTTGTACTTTCGAACGTCCGCCACCAAAACCAACGGAGCAAGCGAGCTTTGACGGCTGTCGGCGCAGAAAGCAGACGACGAACAGATCACGTGACGTATTTACTCGATTTGATCCGACTTTACCCCCCGATCGAGGAGGGTAGCGCGAGTAATTACTCCGGAGTAAACAACCCGCTTCTGGAACGCGAGTTCTGACGTCATCGAGTAAGCTCGAGTAAGTTTTGGAACGCCACGGTACGAAACTTTTACTCCGGAGTCGGATCGAGTAAATTTTGGAACACAGCCCTACAGGCGCAAAAAGAAGCGTTGGTTTGGATCGCGCTTAAAGCGACGCCGTGACGACAGCGACACTCGCGTTCGCTCGTGCTTTTCGCCAGTGTTGCCAGATGGAGAAAAAAAAAGTCAGCAGATTGATCCCCAAAAAGTCAGTAGATTTGCACAAAAATCAGTAGATTCCACGAAATATGTGTTTTGCCATGTTTTGCTATCTCCATTAATACACACTTAAAGAAATAGTATAGAGTAACAAATAACATGGTAATAAACACAAATAAAAATGAAAGAAAAAACAAGACCAGTTCTCAAGTAACTCTATATGAAGGACAAATTAAAATGACACCATAAATGTTTTTGTTTTAGTCATTATTGACTGTTTCGAGGATTATTCTTTAGAATCGAGACTGAGGCACTTTTGGGATCACAGATGAAGGCGACAGTGCGACGTCCACCTGTCGCTATGATTGACACAAAACCGAAACAAGACGCTCCGGCAAGTGCGCGCGAACATGTCCAATGGAAGTCCTCTGCATGCT